TGAATAAATCTACAGATAATAATACTCAGCATTAGCAGGCCACGCTGTACAAGCCCTTGGGGGAAAAAAATGTTTCTGTATGTAAGCAGGTTCAGGATTAGTCTTATTCTGTTCCTCATCTGGCAACACAAACGATGACTCAGAATTATTAATAAAAGAATTTTTATTCACACAACCGTTTGTTTCTTCTTTAGTAAACGCCAATGAATTAAGTAACGTTAACTGGGGAGGGGAGCTCTCCCAAAACCATAACAAAGACTTATCATTATTTAGATCTTTTAGCAATATGTTTTTGCTGCTTTCTCTTCCTCTGTCGGTAGCCGCAGGAACCCGCTGCGGACCGCACACAGGGTTCGGCAGCAAGGATGATGGACCCATTCTCCCTCTCTCGCTGCTTCTTTCTCCACTGAGGGATCCACTGGGTGTACCAACCGCCCGAGACCCCAACCCTTGGGGTACACCAGGACAGTCCATTCCTCTGGACTTAAACCGGCTATTATGGGTCTCACTTTCTCTCTTCCTGTACTTCCTTCACCTTCTTCAACCTCCCTCGTCATGGGAACAGAGAAGACTTGAGTTCCCACATCGGATCTCTCAGTGATGGGTTCTCTAATCACAGTTATTTTCTCTATGTCTTTAGATCTTGCTCGCTCTTCAGTGGTCAGGAAGACATTTACACTTTCCCTGTCACCTTTTCTCACTCTCCTTTCCCCTGCCTCCGTCGCCTCAGCCGTTTCTAACTGTCCTAATCGCTCCTCTTCCTTGCGGTTTCCTTCGTCTCGAGCCCCTTCCAATTCCACCGCGCGATATCCTCACTCCTCACCAGCTCGCGTCTCTGCTTTCTGCTCTCTTTCTTGCTTTGTCACTATATCCCTTGCTTGCTCTACCACCTGTCCTATGCTAGGCATCTGAGGGGACGGCTCACTCTCTGTCTCTCTCTTTGTCTCTTCCTCACACTGTAATATTACGTCTTTTACCCCATGAGAACCTGACGTTCATAAAATGTGAGGATGTTAGTAAGGAGAAGCTACACTGAATTCTCAGCTACAGGAGATAAAGCACATGAGAACAGTCTGACCACCCCTGATTCACAGGCTGGGTTTGTACGGCCACTGCCCTTTCCAGCTCTAAGACCAGACATTAGCAGCTCCCCAAAACTGATCAGGTGGCTGGTTCTGGTTGATGTCAATCAGAGTATCTCAGTGTGGCTTTTCCACCTGCACCTTTAGAACCATGCTTATCACAGGACTCC